CAATGATGCCCATCATGATTCAGGTGGTTCCAACTCTGCGTGTAGCTACATCATCCTCTACCCATTGCTTTAAAACAGAGAATCCACCATTCACATTTCCAAACCCCAGTTTAACAACTGTAGCCTGTGGTATCTGTGTGGACTACCAGCTAGGACTGAACTTCTAAAAGCAAAAGAACGGGAATTTCAGAATGTGACACAATGCAAACTACTGGAGTGTCCGAAGGACACACCGGATTCTGAGGAAGGCAGATGATGGAGGCTCTGTCTCCAAGTGGCCTAGCTCCATCTTTTGCTTTGGGGAAGTGCCAGGGTCATCGGCATTCTCCAAACCTCTGGTCGCTGACTGCCCTGCAATATACATCTAAGCATGGAATGTCACAACGGATTAGGTGGCTAAGAGGATGCAGCTAAGTGGCATCCAAAACAGCCTCTAGGCACTAGCATTCATGCTTTCCCTCCTTTCTGTCCCCATGTGCCATGGCACATGGGAATCCACCAAGAATCCAAAGGTGCTGCCAGGAGCAGTATCCTAAGAGTTGACAACAGTGAAGCCCAGGCCTGAAGGTGACCTCCTACCAAGCCCACTTAGGGAATGTTGAGATTGACCCCAATGTTTCCCACCCCCCACCCCACCCCCACCCTGGACTTTCCCCATCAAAAAGGAGCTCATCCTCCATCAGAAGACACATCCCCCAGGAAGCACAGGTGAAGGCCGCATGAGGCAGCACCACATGTGGGGGACTTCAGGGCATCACCCTAAGTCCACAGCTCACCTTCTGCTTCAGGGGCCAGGGGCCTGTGGTGGGTGTCTTACAGGAGGATGAGTCTCCTAAAAGTCACAGCTTGGCCGGCTGCAGCATTTGACACTGGTACAGTATAGCAATGGCAAACTGTTATATAAATAATTTGGCATAAGTAAAATATAAATTACATAGAAATGGCATTTTAGTTTCTGTTTTCTCATTTCTCCCTTCAGGGTCCTCCCCGGCCTGCTCGCCATATGTAAGCGAGAGTGTAGAGTCGTCACCACGATACGGGTGGGGTCTGACATCCCCCTGCTTCTCCACAATGCCAAAAGGTCCTTACCACCCTCATCCTCACAGCCCACACCTCCTCGCCTCCTTCACGTCCCCGCCGTGTTCCGGAAGGGTCTGACCTACGCGAACCTTCGTCAAACATTCATCCCCTCCTGGGTTTTGTCAACATCTCTGTGGTGGGAAGACCACGGTGAGGGAGACCACTGGCCTTGAGCATTCCTGGGCAGGGGTGCTTCTGCCGATGGCGGGGTGCTGTGATCACTCAGCTTCCTGCCAAGCGAGCTGGGTGTTTCTCATTCTCACAGATGCTGGTGTGCTGGGAACCTTCTGGACCCTCAGTAGGCACGCCCTGTGCCCAGTTCTTTCCACCCCAAAAGCACCCGGCTACAGAGATGTGTAGGACGAGAAGTTACTCTCAGGGGAGGCCAATGCGTAGTGACGTTGTTTGTTCTTGTTTGGTAAAGTTGGCAAGTCTCTTTCCCCTCCTGGGCCTAAAATGCCACGATTATCAGTTTGGTACAAATTGGGGGCCCCACCTGACCCCACTGCTGTCTTGAAGGTTGCGAGAGGCGTCCAGTGGGTCTGGGTTAGGAGAGACTCTCAGATCTTCTTTGGGGAGCCAATCATGACCTTTGACACAAAGTTGACGATGGCGCTGGCAGGTTGCTCAGGGTCGTGCTCGGCAAACAGGTGGCATACGTTGTCTGTGGCACTGCCCTGCTTCCGGGCCACAAAGCCAAAGACTCTGCAAAAGGAAAGTCCAAGTGAGAGCAGCCCTCTGGCCTCCTGCAGAGGACAAGCAAGCGGATAAGCCTCCACTTTCTCTGGCTACTAGTGGCAACATATGGAAAAGCTACCATATGTTTGGCACTGGCCAGGTGCCTGTCCACACACTTTCACCTGTGAAACTTATGGACCTGCAGGTAAAATGAAGGAGTTCTGCTCTAAAGGAAGGAGCTGGAGTTGACCAAAGGGGAGTGACAGCCCCTTGCCCCAAATCAAAGATGAGGCTCAACTTATTCCACAGTGACTTCCCCATTCAAGGCTGGAATCCTCCAGGCAAGATCCAGGCAGATTCCTGAGCTTCAGTTGAACATGCAGGACTGGAGACCCCAAGAGGAGAAGCAGGGCCTCAGGGACTCCTGAGATGATGCCAGCTGCCCCCAGGCCTTTCCCTGACTTGGACTCCCCCACCCCCGCCCTGGCTCAGGTCAGAGGGGAAATATTCCAAGAACTCTTCTCAGGCTTCGAAAGCCCGCAAGCCCGGGTTGCAAACTATGCCCAGTTCGGGAAGCTGTTTAAAAAGAACACACATCTAATTATTTTTCTAAGAATTGAAGCCATTATCTTAATAGGCTTTTAGGAGTCCTAAACTTAACACAATAACAACCATTCTCCAAATCTAAATCTCTGGCAAAGATCTTTCTTGGAAAAATGAAGGACTTTTTTGTTTCCACTTAGCAGTTTCCATACCGCAGAAGGGACTGGCCAAGGACACTCAAGTAACCCCAATGGAGTCGAAAATTCCAAGCAGATGAAAGCCCCATGCTAACCTGCCAGTCCCAGGGCAGAGTTTGCCCAGAATACACTCCCTCTAGGGGGTTGGAAAAGGCCCAAATCACTGATCAGCTCCCTAGACTAATGAGGAACCTGAAATAGGAATCTTAGGAAAGGAGGACCATGATCAGACAATTGTGGTCATTCAATTTAGACTACACAGAGGGAGCCAACCTGGGAGTTGCTGTTACATCTCTGAGTGGGAGGTTAGGATGTGGTCCCTCGGAGGTAATGCTGGGCTTGGAATAAGCCCCTGCCCAACAATAGGGAGATGAAGACTCCTCCCTTGCCTTTGGTATGCTGAGCATAAAGCTCTGCCTTCTAGCTCAGAGGACCTCAGCTCTACTCTGCAACACTCCTGCCCTCAAATGGCTGAAGAGCCTGAGCAATGCATATGGCTGCATATATCCCAGGACAGTCGGCCAGGGGCGCAGGGCAGTGAACAGCACCCAGCCTTTACTCCATAAGGACCACACTTTTCCTTTCTTCCTGTTTCTTTTCTTTTTAAAGCAAGTGATCCCATTGACATGACTGTGTTATTTTCTCATGAGGAATCCTCTTTGGAAAGTGGAACAGAATTCAACAACTACAAAAACAGAAAAGAATGGAAGAAAATGCTGGCAACTTACTTGGAAGAAGGGCCATCTTTGATCCACCTGATGAATTAAAGAGAAAAGAATTGCATTAACTTTTAAAATTAAATGGTGAAATGAAGTACACATCTTGCTTAATAAAAATGCAAATAGCTTACTTCCTGTCTTGTGGGTCCAAGGCACAGAAAATCACTGTGTTCACGGGGTAATGCCTCCGGAAGAAGAGCCTGTGGACATGAGGGAGAGAGAGAACCGATCCCATTACTGGGGTTTAGGGTGATGGGTGTTGTGCTGGGTAGACTTTCCCATTTGCCCATATGTGAACATCACAGAGAGGTAAACCTATTGATAGATTTATCATTTGGAAAGAGGAATGAAGTGTATGCACATTAGCAATCAACAGAGGATATTAAATTGAGCAGAATGATTCTCAGAAGTAGCCAACAGCAGTACCATATAAGGTGAAACTGTCAGCTGATGGAAATGGGGATCTAATCAAGGAGTCTTAAGGAACTAGAGGGGTGTGAGATAGACACAGGAAATCACCTTGGGTCTCACCAGCCTCTTCTGATTGTGGGCAGACCATAACTATCTCAAAGCATTGGTCTCCTCATTGGTAAAGGGGGAAGGCATGGTGAGAGCAGTCCACATCCTCTCAAGATGGTGCCCAATATGGTAAGAGATCTTAGAGCACTGGCTCATCTCTCAAGGGCTGAGTCCTGCAGGGTACTTGCCCAGTGCTATTTTTTTTTATTTGAGTGGCTCAATTCTGAGGTAGGTTCTTTGATATAGGAAGAAATTTTTCCATCTTCAATTTCCCAAGAAGTTTGGGCAGCTGAAGAAATCATCCAGCTTGAGTGACAGGTCCTGGAGCAGGCACTACAGGGGGTGGGGGCCTGCCAGGACAGCATCATAGGCAGAGGGCTTGAGCTGGTCTACACGGTGTCCTGTGGGTACATGTGTCTGTTGAAAGGGGTCCTGCCATCTCGTTGTGTTCTTGGTTGATAATCTGCCTTCCTACTCAGTCACCCAATGCTGATTTCTTAACTAACACCTTGTTAATAGTATCTGAAATATTGTTGATCCTGAGGTCAAAGGCTCCTTGGGTAAGAGATCTCAAGGAGGGTCAGTGGGAGGACCAGCCTGTGACTACTCCCTGCTGGTCCTGGAGAAGTAAACATGTGCTCCTGTGTTAACTAGCAACAATAACAAACCTGGACCAGAGTCCTTTCAACTCCACCAAAGCAAACAATATGTATCAAGATCATACTCTCATCTGAAACCAGATGACCACCAGAATCAGGGGATTCTGATCATAGCCTCAGAGTATCTTTAAAGCAATGTAGTAAAAAAAATGTTGTATTTGCAAATGTTTCATAGATAATATTCATAGCACCAAATATCTTTCTTCTTTAATTTTACTAATTCCTAAGTATGCAACTTTTCAGCACAGGTGCTAATGATTTATGTGAGACTTATTTAATGACCTATTTAATGACAAGCAATAGCCTAGGGAGAGGTTGGATTACCAATAACCTCAAAAATACTCGGTTTCATCTGGATGACCATTCACACCAGAAAAGAGCAAGAGGGGAGGTGGGGGAGGTTACATCCCCAGCTGGGATCAGCAGCCCTATCCCTAGACATTCACACTCTCCCCCAGCAGTACTCACTTCCTCTGATTGTCCGTCAGGGTGATGCCCTGGGCAGACACTTTGAAGTGCACTACCGTGGACACTGGGGGTGGCTCCTGAACCAGGGTCATGCTCAGGGCCTTCTGGACTGCCTGATGGCCAGTGAGGGACTCCATCTCCACGGAGTTCAAGTACCACACGTTGCAGGCTGCAAGACACCAAAGGCACGCAGGTTAGCGGTGACTATAGGGTGATATATGATCTACTTACACACTGGTGGTTGCTGACATGTAGAGGTTGAATTTATGAACAACTTGCACATGTGATCTGTGCTGGGTCCATTTAAAAGCAAAGGTCCTTTACTCCAATTCTGAAGGAGTAGACAGTGAACCACCCAAAGATGCACTTGCCTCAGTGCCAACATGGAGAATGAACAAGTTACCAGAGCACAGCCCGGCTTTGCCATCCTCCGTCAGAGGGAGGAATGCTCCATTCACCCTGTTGCAGATTTAAACTTGGTGTCTGGGGGGACCTTGAAGTACCTTCTTCTCTGTCCTCAGTGGGGATTTGGATAGCAGATTGGACATCAAAGCCCAGCACAGTCAGAGAAAAGGAAGCCCAGAGGTCCTCCAGGTAACACAGTAAGGGGACCGTGTATGATGGAATCCAAATAACTGTTCTGCCCCAGAGTGTTGAAAGGGTATTCGAAAGGGGCTGCTGAGAGAATGGATGATTTGCCATGAGCTTAGAGTACAGCTTCACCTGTGTCCCAACATTCTACACTGCGAGGGAAGGGCTTGGGGTCTTCTCTGTGGCCATCTCCCCTCAGGCGAAGAGAAATGACTAGATATAAATACGCCTTTGACAACTCTGGCACTCCCTGTTGGCTTGTATCACTGTGGCTGAAGCAAAAGCTAACAAGGGACTTTGGAATGTGGATGAAATCAGAGCCAAAGGGGCAATGTTCAGGCTTTGTCTGAAGGTCTCTTATCTCAGGAAAAACCAGGGACTCCTGTGGCCAAAGATGATTGGCCTGTTAAGTTATCATCATGAAGAGGGGGATGCTAAAGAATTGATGTCTGCTTCCTCAGCTTTCTCTTGCTTTCCCTTCTGCATATGCCCAATTTCACTTCTGCCTTCCACCATGAGTTGAAATAGCACGAGGCACTCACCAGAGGTTCAGGAAATGCTGCCTCCATGATCTTAGACTTTCAGCCTCCAGAACAATGAGCCAAACTAAATCTCTTTCCTTTGTAAACTACCCATTCCTAAATATTTTCTATGATTACAATAGAAAACGGATGGAGATAGAGCAGAACTGCCCTGGCTCATCTTCCTCCTTGCTGTATGCTAGCTTCTGATTGGGGAACAGGGGTGAGGAAGTTCCAGTTCAAAGGCCACCACAGAATTTCATTATACAGAAAAATAAAATGCTTCTCCCTGATCCGAACCAATGCATCGGCTGACATGAACAGTCAGCATTCAGTTGAGCTGCTGCCTCTTGGCCAGGTATTCAGTGAGCAGCTCTGCCCTCTTTCTGCCTTGGAATGAATGAGCAGGGGCCATGCCTGTTGGTAGGTGCACTGATACACAGGACCACAAGGGAGCCAGGGAGAGTGGCAGTCACTGAAGATGCCCTGGGAGTCAAAGCACAGGCCACATGTCAGCTGCTCACCTGTCCCTTCTCTCTAAGGCACCAGCCATCATTCATAGTTCATTTGTAAAGTTTCAGACACACAGAGAATTTGGAAACCTCTACTTCAGTGAGCACACACAGTTACCACCACAGGGAAGGAAAACAGGGACTGGGATTTACATCAACAAGCTAATCTGAAAAATGAAGCCCCTTCCTTTATCCAAGAGTGGTGAGAGTTTGAAGTGGGTCCAGAAAGAAGCCTCACAGACCCTTGAAAGGCCCTGTCTTGAGGAAGGCAGCAGATACCAGAGGACCACCCTCAACCCCAGGAAGCAAACTGTCTCAAAGACTGAGACAAGTGACTCTCATTGCTTTTAAACAAGACTAGGGCTGGGGGTGTAGCTCAGTGGTAGGGGGCTTAGCTGACATGCGTGAAGCCCTATGTTTATTCCTAGCATCTCAAACAAAACAAAAACAATAGGACTTCCTGAATTTATACTTAATATGGGGGTTTTGTCTGGGATATTAATTTTCTTCTATAAAAAGTTAACTTTGCTTTTACTCTTATGAAAAAGTAATCACCCCTGTAATTATTGAAGTGGCACTGTCCCAATAACAAAATTTTAAAAAGATGTTTCAATTGTTTTCACTCTTTTGAGCTCAACCTAACACCTAATGTTAATAGGAACCTGTACACAGCCCTAAGAGGAAGAGTCTATCCTTATCTCCAATTCACAGATAAGGAAATTGAGGAACAGAGACAGTAAGAAGCATGGGCAGTCTCCCAGGCCCTATGAGCAGGTCACTGTGATCGTGCTGTGACACAATCTTCATGGCGGACCCCAGTGTTTACTGAGAACCTGTTAGGTACCAGGCATTGGATAAGGACCTGCACTAAGAAATTTCATATAATACTCCTGAGGATTACTGGGCATTTACGCTGTGAGGCCCCTGGTGGTGCAGAATTCTAGGATCAGGCCCCAAGATAATCCTTGTCTTTATCATGACAGATGCATTCTTTCGGGAGGCCATTGTCACGTCCGTACAGAGATGCTGAGAGGCAGGTAGAAATCGGTCATTCCCCCCGTCTGGCTGAGTTCAGCTCAAAGATTTCCATGGCAAACAGTGCTCTTTTCCATGATTTCCACCCCATCCAGCTGGCCAGCACTGCCACTTGTTGCAATGGATTAAAAATCTATGTCTCTAAAAATTTCACATTTTGAATGCTAACTCTCAAGATGATTTGGGGAAGTAGGACCTTTGTGGGGGACGGGGTGATTAGGTCATGAGGGTACAGCTCATGAAAGAGACCTCTGAGAGTTTTCTGGTTCTCTTTCCACCATCTGAGGCCACTTCGGTAAGCCAGGAAAAGCATTCACCAGCACCCACATGCTGGCCCTCTGATCCTGGATATCCACATTCTAGAACCATGAGAAACACATTTCCACTGTGTATAAGCCACCCAGTCTGTGGTACTTTGATAAAGCAGCCTGAGCTGACCAGTACACTCATCTTACAGTATCTAGGCAAGAAGACATTCTAGGGGAACTACAAGCCTTTGTGAAGTGTTGGTGCAGCCTGGACACAGGCTATATTTCACAGCTCATTTGTAAAATATGAGACATATAGAAAATTTGGAAACCTCTACTTCATACTGTAGATGACAATTTGACAATATTATCAGGAGAATCCACAAAGCGACAAGGAACCTAGAGGTCCTACTTCTGAAAAGATTCAGAAAGGAAATATCCATTACCCACATGAAACAATTAACCTACAGGGGAAAAGGTTTGTGCCACACATTCATTGCAGAGAGAGAAACTGTAAACAGATTACATACAAAAATAAGAGAAGGTTTAAATTAGTCCCCTCAATGAAATACTAAGCAACCAGCAAATGGTAATCATGAAAATTATATAGCAACTTGGAAAAACGGTTAGCAGGTAATTGGGAAAACAGAATAAAAACTATCTTTACTATGATTAGAAAAATAAAATGAAAAGCATATGTGCTATGAACAGAAGCTGGAAAGAAGCCTGGGAAATTGAAAACAGATTTTTAGGAGAGTGAATATTCTACCTTTAATTGTTATCATGCTGATCATGCAGCTATAAAAGAGAAAAGAAAGGGAGAAAGCAAGAGAAAGAATTTTAAATCTAACTATTATGGAAATTCCAGAGTTGGCACAACCAGAATTAAGTTCACATGGAACCATAGGCTACCACTACTGAGATCTGTGCTCTCCTGTAGGCACCACAGAGAGCTTTTGAGTAGGTGTGGTCCAACTGACTGGAGTCTAGTGGGAATGTGGCATTTGGGGAATATGGCTTCTGAAGGAAGGAAGGAGCCACGTAGTCACTCCTCAAAGCAGAGAAAGAAACATTGCCACTTTTCAATGTTCATTTAGGGAGGCAGTCCTACTAAGGACATGCCAGGGTGCCAATACCAGCTTCCCCAAAGCCCTGACTCTCTCCAGCAGAAAACAGATGGCTTGCAGGGTCAGAGCTGTGCTCCTCCTACCATGCTTACCCAGAACCATCCAAGTCCACTTGACAAGTACTCTTGGTGAGGGGGTAAAGATTTGGCATGACTGTGCCTCATTGTGTTTCAAGATACTTTAAATAGGAAAGTGTCCTTCAGACCCACAGCAGGGAGCTATGCAAATTGCTAGATTATTCTGGGAAAGCAACTTTATAACATGGAAAAACATCTCAGGTCCACAAATTATAACCCCATAGTATCATTTCTGGGAATTTCTCTTAAGGCAACAATCCAGAATTCAGAAAAGGAAAAAAAAAAAAAGAAAGAAAGAATTAAAGTCTTCTTAGTGTTACTTATAATATTGAAAAAATTAGTCTAAATGGACAACCATAAAGAGTTGAATTACATGATGGACCATTACATAGCCATTAAAATATGAGTCCAGCGCTATGTTTGTAAAAACCATGAGTAAGTTTATTATGCAAAGAGTTGGAAGGAATATAAAAGAATCGTACATGTGGCACAATCCCAAGTAGGAGGAGAGGTAATATGAACAAATTTGGTTAGCGTTAAGAATGGTCTCTGGTTGGGAGAATACTAACCACATCGATTTTCCCAGTGTTCAGCAGCTGTATGGGGTCAAAGGTCTATGAGAAATTCACGTTAACCTTCATTTCTGTATATCCCTCTTTTTAACTTCAGAACACACAGAACACATAGGACTTTTACAAAGAAATTATACTTACACAATGCTAAGTTAAAAAACATAACCACGATATTTACAGGAAATCTATCAGAAGTCTGGTAAAAGCGCCTTTCTTTTCAGGATTATCCTAGATTCCTCTCCTCAACAAGAAACAATTAAGAGTTGAGGCTTAAAACACAATCAGACATTGTTTTGAGATTGGAACAAAGTCATGATGGCCTTGTATCAAATAAAAAGGGATTAAACTGAATGGGACTAAAAGTTTATTCCCATTATTGTGACTCTGCCAATATGTTTGAGTCTTGGTTTGCTCAATCAATGAAGAACGCGGACATGAGAGTCTTAAAGGACTTTTTAGGTCCAGAAGACAGGATCCTGAGTGAATTGAATGACAAATGAAATTCAGAAGCAAAACCCACTTGCAGTGATCAGAGATTGAAAAATAGTTCCACAATCTTTTCTTTTTTTCTTTCTTTCTTTTTTTTTTACCAGGAATTGAACCCAGGGGTGCTTAACCACTGAACCACTTCCATAGATAGTCCTTTTTGAGACAAAGTCTTGCTGAATTGCTCAGAGCCTTGCTAAATTGCTGAGGCTGGCTTTGAACTTGTGATACTCCTGCCTCAACCTCTGAAGCCACAAGGATTATAGGCCTGAGACACCAACCACTGGCCTGGTTCCACAATATGGATACAATGGCTGTTTTGGACTTTTTCTAAACAACCACAGCTACTCCTCCAGGCAAAGATGGAACCTCCCAAAGGTTCAATGTGCAAGCTTGATTCTTTGTCACAGCAGCTGCATGGAAATTCAGAGCTATCCAAGTGCTAGAGAAATCAGAGATTTTTAAAGGGACTCAAAGCAGTCATTAATTTAAGCCTCATATATAATGCTTAATTCAGATTATTAGGTCAGAAAAAGAAAATTCCAAATGAAGTCTTATCTCTAAGAACACCCACCCTTTAAATAAAATAACAAGATCAAAGTTATTGGTATGTATTACATGTTATTTTTAAAAAATGAGAAAGTGCATTTAAAAAGGGCATGAGAGAAAGTTTTGATCTCTAAAAATAAGGGTTACTAGAGTAATTTATTATTATTAGTTAACTGACCCATCCAGATAACAAGGAACTCAAGGAGAAACCTGAAATGCTGTTCGTGATGAGAAAAATATTAAACAAAAAGAGCTGAATGCAGAGATAAAGGTGCTTTGGTGCTAACTATGTGGGACCAAAAGACCAGAGCTGTGTCCCTCAAGATACAGAGGAGCCTGGAGACAGAAGCAAAATGCCCAGGCTGACTCCACTTCTCAGGAGCTCAGGCCACTACTTTAGGTGCTCTGTCAGTGATATGGGATGAGAATGCCCCAGCCACCCAGGCCCTGTGAGGGAGGCACTTATCTAGCTGGGCCTGAGCAAATGCTCTGGGACTGTGGCCATGATCTTTCTTCGATATTTTCCTTGATGTATGAATTGCAGTAATTACATATTTTTAAATTTGTAAATACATTTTAAAAAGATGGATCTGAATGAACAAATCAATCAGAATGGATCTGATTCCATAGGCTTATCTTCTAGGTGAGGTGTGTGGGTGAACTGGGGAGGCCGTTAGCAAATTCCCATATCATGGTCACCAGAGATATGAGACTGTGCTCGCATTCTAACAGAAGCAGGTTATAAGCCTTGGAGGGCTCCAGGAATGACCTAAAACAAACTTGGGGGCTCTGAGCTCCTTTCCAGTGCCTTCCACAGCCTCCCAGCTGAGCCATGCTACAAGGGGTATCCACTTTCACAAAGGAGAGGATCAGGCTGGTGCCTAGGAAAGGATATTCCTCTTAGGACAGAAGAATAACTTCCAAGGCATTTCTCAACTTCTATTCATTTGTTCTTTGCAATCCCTGTGTGGGCACAGATTACTGTTACCATTTAACAGATGTAAACCTCGGTTCTACACAGCTAAGTGATTTATCAGAGACCAATACTTGAGCTCAGGAAATAGCACAGTTAACACTCTTCATTTTGGAAATTCAAGTTCTAGTACACTTACTAGCTCCTGTCACATTTGTTTAAGTCACAGATAAGTTATCCTTTAAGGAGACAGTATGAACTTACCTTTTAAGGACACTAAGAACATTCCACTTAAAACCAAAGTAATTTTACTTTGGCTGGGCAATATGCACAGTAATATAAAATTTTCTAGGAAAAAACTAGATAGAATAATACAGCATGTACAGAGAAAAGAACAAGAAAAATACCCACATATTTCTTCATTATGGAGTTATAATAGCTATAAATTATTACATAGGAATGTGTCACAAAATTGAAATATTTCTAGTCCAAACTTTCACCAAAATCACGGATTTCTTCTCCAACATTTCTGACAGTAAAAATGGAAGACAGTATGAAACACTTCCAATGGGGAACAAGCAGTTTTGAAGTGAGCAGGACCCAACGTCTTCTCTAGCTGTGTTCATCCTTCACTTCTGTGGAATTATGATTGCCAAATGTTGTCTGGTCTGTTCACAACCCTTTTAATCTAGAACCAATAGAACTGTACCTAACGCTGCAAAAGTGGCCTGCCCTGGTACTAATAAGCAATTACGACAAGGTGGCTGGATACTAGGATAATATACAACAGTTGATTCATTTCTGACACCAATGATAAGCAAGGAGAATGTAAAATTGAAAACCCAATGTCACTTATATGAACACCCTCAGAATTACTTTTATAGAAATTTAACAAACTATACATAAGATCTATATGAGAAAAACTACAAAACTCTGATGAAAGATATCAAAGAACTAAATGATGGAGATATAATGTAACTTTAAGCACAGGCATTCACAACACTGTCAAGATGCCAGTTCTTCCCAATTTTGTGTAGATACAATGCAATCCTAATCAAAATCCCAAGCAAGTTATTTTGTGATTAACAAACTGGTTCTAAAGATTGTATGGAAAGGCAAAAGATCCAGAATAACAAACACAATATTGATGGAAAGTTGGAGGACTGATACTACCTAACTTCAAGACTTGTAATGAAACTGTAGTAATCAAGATAGTAGGGTATTGTGGGAAAAAAGACAAAAATCAATGGAACAAAATATAAAGCCCAGAAATAGATCCATATAAAGATAATCAACTAATCTTTGACAAAGAGCAGAGACAACACAGTGGAAAAGATAGTCTTTTCAACAAATAATGTGAGAACAATTGAATATCCAATTCCAAACCCCACTCCCTCCAAAAAAACTATACCTAGATGTAGACTTTTTTATACTATTCACAAAAATTAACTCAAAATAGACCAGAGACCCAAATAAAAAATATAAAATTATAAAAGTCCTAGAAGATAACAGAAAAAAATCTAGATGAACTTGATTAACTTGGGTTTGATAATGACATTTTAGACATGACACTAAAAACAAAATTTTATTAAGATTAAAACTTTTTTGCTCTGCAGGAGATGCTATCTAAAGAATTAAAAATAAAAGCCACAGATTGAGAGAAAATATGTAGACAACACAAATCTGATTAAGGATTGTTATCTAAAATATACAATTAACTCAAAATTCAATAATAAGAAAAAAACCCAATTAAAAAAATGAACCAAAAGAAAATTAAGAGATACTGCACCACAATATGCAGATTACAAAAGAGCAAGTGAAAAAATGCTCTATAACATCTGGGAAATATAGGTTTAAATGAGATATCAATATACATCTATTAGAATAACCATGATCCTGAACACTGACACTAGCCAAGGTTGGTGAGGACGTGGAATGAGAACTCTCATTCATTGCTGGTGTGAATACAAAATGGTCCAGCCATGCTGAAAGACAGTTTTGCCGTTTCTTGCAAAATTGAACACATTCTTGTCATATGATCCAGCAATCATACTCCTTGGTATTTACTCAAAGAAGATAGAAACTTATATCTACATAAAACCCCAAATGTAGATGATTATTAAAGATTTATTCATAATTGGCAAAACTTGGAAGCAACCCAGATGTTCTTCAGTAGGTAAACAGAGACATAAACTATGGTACATCCAGACAACAAAACATTACTCCATGCTAAAAATAAATAAGCTATCAAACCATGAAAAAATATGGAAGAAACCTAAATGCATATTACTAACTGAAAGAAGCCAATTTGAAAAGACTACATACTATATGATTCCATTCTGGAAGAGGCGAAACCATGGAGACAGGATAATAATCAGTGGTTGCTGGGGATAAGAGGGAAGAAAGGGATAAAGAGGTAGAGCAGAGTGGAATTTTAGGGAGGTGATAATATGTATGTATGTAATATGTAAATATGATGGATACATGCCATACCCACGTTCCCAAATCCATATAAGGCAGAACACCAAGAAGGAACTCTAATGTAAACTGTAGTTTAGTTACTAATGTATTGATATTCATCAATTTTAACAACTGCACTACTCTGGTGGGGAGGCTGGTAACGTGGGAGGACGTGTATCTACATGAGATAGTTCTGTACTCTCCATGCAATTTTGCTGTGAATCTGTAACTGCTCTAAAAAGTAAAACTATTAATAAAAATGCTTTAACAAAGTGGCCTGGTCTGTGGAGGGCTGTCTCTGGGTGGTGTCTCCCACCAGACACATGGAAGCCTGGGTCCAACTGTTGACTCACGTCGAGTAATTGTTGAGTCACATCTCTGGAACATTTTTATATTTGCAGCTGGCAAAGCAGTTTACCCACATCCTGTCTTACTACATTTTCCCTTAAACTAAAATACAGGACTTGACATTTATTCTACTGAATTTGGTCTTGTTTAGAGTCAGAACAATATTTCTAGCCTGTGATGCCTGGCCCTGTCTCTGACAGCCGTTCCCCACCCAGCTCTGTGCAACGATCTATAAAAGGAAACTTCCCCCACAGCCCACAGAGAAGGAAACCTGAATAATGAGAGGGAAAGGGAAGTTCTGCAACGAAACTCCTTTTCCGCCCAACAATCAGACACGTGGAAATTGAAGCTGCATTCACTAACCTGCTCCCTGCTTCAACAACTCAGCGGCTGAGTTGGCTGCTGTCTGGGGAGAATTTTCTGCTATTTCCTCCAATGGATCTGCAGGAAAGGGTGAGAAAACATAGAAATAAGTGCTGCTCCCCCAACAAAGAGCCCTCAGGACCAAGTCAGACAATTTGGTGACAGAATTCCCAGACGGTGACACGCAATGGTCTCCCAGAGCCAGAGCTGAGCATTTCTGTTGAGGACTATGATCCAGCCCACAGAAGCAATATCACATTCCAAACAAAGTTAGGGAAGACATGGCCCAACAAAATTTGCTTCTGATCTCTGAAACAATTTGTATGAAAAATTAAATTTCAAAAGCTAAGTCACATCTTTATATGAAAGTTTATGAGACTGCTTAAGAAAGCTGGGAAATACAATCAAATCAGCCTGTTATTCTGTGGGTGTTATTTTTCAAAAAAATTTTATTATGGATATTTTCAAATATCCATAATATTATTTGATGATAATGTTTGATGATAAAGATGATGAATGTTTCATTCATCACCTGGATTCAACAATATCAACATTTTGCCCATTCTTTTTTTTGGTAGCAGAGATTGAATTCAGGGGCACCCAACCTCAGAGCCACACTCTTAGCCCTATTTTGTATTTTATTTAGAGACAGGGTCTCACTGAGTTGCTTAGCTCCTTACAGTTGCTAAGGCTGGCTTTGAACTCGTCTCCCCAAGTTGCTGGGATTCCAGGCATGCACTACCAAGCCCAGCCACATTTTGCCCATTCTGTAGCATCTTTAAAATTAAATGTAAATGGCCTTGAAGGTCCCTTAGTCTGAGGTTTTTGTTGTTTTGTTTTTGTTTTAGTTCAGTCTTTACTGCATGGAAATCTTTAATGGAATCCATGATGTACAGATATCGGTGTGTTTCCAGCTGCAGTGGGGCCTCCTCTTTTCTCCCTGATTTGAATCCTTAGTTCTTCTACTAGATTTACACACAGAACCCATGTCAGAAAAAGAAGTGTAATTGAACATTAAAAGAGAATAAAATCAGGGCATTTGCAGGTAAATGGATGGAGCTGGAGAATATAATGCTAAGTGAGGTAAACCAATCCCTAAAAGCCAAAGGCCGAATGGTTTCTCTGATATGTAGATGCTGATTCATAATGGGGGTTGCAGAGGAGCACGGGAGGAATGGAGGAACTTTAGATAGGGCAAAGTGGAAGGAGCAGGAGGGAAAGGGAATGTGATAGGAAAGATGGTGGAAAGAGATGGACACCATTACCCTAAGTACATGAAGACATGAATGGAGTGACTCTACTTTGTGTACACCAGTGATTTGAAAAATTGTGCTCTATATATGTACTATGAATTGAAATGCATTCTGCTGTCATGTATAACAAATTAAAATAAATACATTTAAAATAAAAAATTAATTAAGTAGTCTAATTTTTCTCAATGGATCTCCTCAGATCCCTGGAAGTGGTGTGCCTTGACCATTCAGTTGAACCTACTCAGAGCCAATCCAGTAGTGAAGCCCCAATCCATACCTCTCTCTGGAATGAGCAACTTGCAGGGCAAGGCCAAAGGCGTGATGGAATGCTGACACACCAAAGCAGTCAGACTCCCTGTGGAGAGGACAGAAGAAGCAAACCATGGTTAACAACCTCTCAGCCCATTGTGTGCTCAGCCACCCTACCAGATGAAATGAAACTGCTGCAAAGCCTGAGCCTTGAGGTCTTCACAACGAACACATTCTATTATATTGGGAAACTTCAAAGAAGCAAAAAGTTCAACAAGTCAGCTAAGAGATAAGTAAAGGGAATTGCAGTGGATCCTAGAACAGGAACGTCATTGCCAAAGCATAAATAATACATTATACAGTAGGCTGGATCTGAAATGAGATCAAGATAAATGCAACTTGTACCACATACATCATCCCTACACAGTGCCTCTAGAAAGGCCAGGATAATGTCAAGGCCTTAATTCTTCTCTGTGCCTCCTACAGCTGGCTCCTGCAGCCTGTCGAGCAATACAGTGAGGTTGCAGAGGCCTATTAAGATATAGATAAGAAAGGATGCTCTGCCCAAACCCTATGTGCCTCTTAGTGCTCCTGAGATGGGATCACACTCGGTTCAACCCATCAGGATTTATCTTTGTGCAGAACAGGACTATACCTTGTTGACATCTGTAACTTCTAGTATTAGTCCAGTGTTTTTTGTTTACTTACTTTTGGCAAAGTGTTTAAGAATGCATTGTACATTCAGATTATCTTAAAGACAGTATTTCAGATCAGAAATGAACCACCATAAAAAAGGCAGCCTGAAATCTCAGGTTAGCCAGCAGAGGAGAATCCAGGCCCCCAGTATTCAGGACATAGAGAGCAATCTCTCAAGTGACTCACCAAAATATGGTTCATTGGAACATCCTTTCAACCGCACTCCCTTTGGGGTACACTCGATCAAAAAATGCCGAACAAGTTCATTGGACAAATCTCCACCTGTGGTAAGAAATTTTGAAAATGAATCGACTCAAGTGGTACATGCATCCCAATGTTTATAGCAGCACAATTCACAATAGCCAAGTTATGGAAGCAGCTAGGTGGCTATCACAGACAAATGGATAAAGAACATGTGGTCTACATATACAATGGAGTTTAACTCAGCCATAAAGAAGAATGACATTACGTCATTTGCTGGTAAATGGAACAGAAACAAAGAACATGATGCTAAGTGAATAAGCCAGATTCAAAATCAAGGGTTGAATGTTTTCTCTCATATATGGAAGCTAGAGAGCAGTAAGGAATTAAAACAGGGAATTGCTAAATGTGGTGGTGCATGCTTGTAATCCCAGTGACTCAGGAGGCTTAGGCAGGAGGATTGCAAAGCCAGCTTCAGCAACTTAGCCAGGTCCTAAGCAACTTAGTGAGATCCTATCTCAAAATAAAAATGAAAAGAACTGGGCTCAGTAGTTAAGCACCTCTGAGTTCAACCACCTAAATAAATGAACAAATAAAATGGTGAATCTCACGAAATTAGAAAGGAGAACAGTAGAATAGAAGAAATGGAGAGAATGGGAGGGAAAAAGGATAGGAAAGGGGAGAAACTGCAGAATGAAATAGACCAAATTTTGTTATGTACTGTACATATGAATATATCACAATAAATTCTATTTTTATGTACAACTGTAATCCACCAATTTAAAAAGCAATAAATAAATGAAAGAAAGGCAGGTAGAGAAAGGGAGTCAGGGGAAGAGAGGTAGGGAGACAAAGGAGAAATACTAACGAATGAAATGGGGCAAATTTTATTATATGCATCTATGAATATGTCAAAATAAATCCCACTATATGTATAGCCATAATGTACTCATAAAAACAAAAACTGAAGAATTTTAAAAAATGGGAGCATGGTATGATTTGAAAGAGAGAAATTTCAGACACAAATGCAAGGAACCGTACCTGAGAAAGCCCCTTCTAAACAGAATTCTAGCTACTGCACTGGGGATTCACCAAGAATCGCTTTAAGAATGGTAGCTGGGTGGTGAGATGAGCCAGGCGGATGAAGAGACCCCCACAGTGACAATATAGTGAGCAGAGGGACTTTGGGAGGCCCCTCAAACACACTCCAAGAATTCCCAGCTACCCCCACCCTCCCCCCCAAAAAAAATCAGAATTCTCAAACACTAGTGAATCTGAGCATTTCTGATGAGGGATACCTGACCTGTAGTAGGCTCCTAAATGACGTCTACTAAGTGACATATATTAATTACAGTGTCAGCATTTTGCACAGGGAGTAAAGCTTTATAGTAAAGGAAATGATGAGATTTCAAGAAAAGCTGCACTGAATAAAATGAGGAAAAAGGACATGTGGCCATTGATCTGTGGGAGGAGAGTGCCTCATGACTCTGGACTGCCATGGATTCGAGGTGGGTCCAGATGCCACTTGTGGGAATCAGCCCAGTGGAAATCCTCCTGGCCAGGCACTCTGCACAGCAGGGCCCTGAATGGCTGCAGCTGTCCCATCTCAGGGTGGTCAGAGGTGGTGGTGACTCACTGTGGCTGTTTACGAGTCTGGTAAACCCTTCTCTAAAATCTGCCCCTGGCCTGTGAAACACAAATGTCAAATCCAGGGTCTGAGTGAAAATACAGCAGCCAGATAAAATTTCAGTGACAAATTCTGGTGTTCCTGATGTCTGCTATTCTCATATCCTCTATTTTATGGCCTACATTTTCAGACTGAGTCCAGAATCTGCCTGAGACTGGACACATGCCTGGAGGTCAGAAAAGTTATATACCACCATCTGTATTTCCAGAAACGATAATGTAAATATAGATTTGCTTTAAAATGTTCAATAGAAACCAAGGAGCCAGGCAGAATCCCAGAGCTGCTGTCCACTAGTGCCTGTTCCACCATATTGTCCTCCCCTCTACCCACTCACAAGATGTTCTTATCCTGAGACTTATTCCTACTATAATCATCACCCACCAAATTTCCAAATATGGCCTGGCAATACTCAACCAGCAGGGCTAATTCACCTCTTCAGCTACAAAAATTTGCATTTCCACTCAATAGTAGCATTGTTTGAACTTCTTATGCTGGAATTCTGGATGCTCTATGATTTGATTTTCCAAGGCTTACCTGTTCTCCCCATCCTGTGCAGGTCACCTCCTTGACTTCAAGATCCTATGAGTACCTCCAGTTTCATGTCTATGTTCTGACTGAGCCCCATGTGCCCTGCAACCTGATTCCCCACCCTTTCATTCACATGCCACTTCCTTTGCCAAGAGGAATCCGTCTTGGCTTTCTGGAAACATCTCTACCATGCCAGAGGTTGGCCCTTCCACAACCAAATCTTCTTGTCTTTTAAGGTGTAACTCCAAGGCCATTTTCTCCAGGTATCTTTAAGCACATGTTTTATCCAAGGATCTGAATAAATATTCTCAGGTATAGTCATAGAACAGGAGGGACCCAGACAACTGTCTCATTTTCCTTCAACACAAGGAGTTACAACATCTGTGCTTATCCTGATCTCCCACTTCTACTATAGTTTGGATCTGGAACATTCCCCAAAGGTCCATGTAGTAAAGGCTTGTTCCCCAGATTGGGAGGTGCTGGAGCCAAAACGTAGTTAGGGCATGGATACTGCCCTTGCAGGGGACAGTGAGGGCCTGGTTCCTTTTTTTTTTTTTTTTTTTTTAATTCATGTCCCAACCATCAAGTGGACTAAAACCTCTGGAACCATAAGTCAAAATAAATCTTCCCTCTTTGTAAGTCAGTTATCTCTATGATTTAGTTACAGAAAAGGAATAACACACCTTCCTAATGACTTGATGATATTCCCCTAGTTCACAAATCCCAGGGAGTTTAAAAGAATCTATTTCCTTTCCTTGGAGTTGGTGACAGGGTAGTAAAGAAAGATGAATACAGATAGGAATAAAAAAGATAGGATGAGTAAAAGAAAACAAAGAATAAACCAATAACCAATAATCCACCAATAATGGAATGAATAGATTATAATATATTCATAAGAGGGAAAAGATACAGTGAAAGAGAACAACAGTTGTAAGCTATCTTTAAAATATGACAAGGGAATCTTATGCTGAATCAAAACAAGAACAAAAGAATTGATACTGTATTATCACTTTATAATAAAAATAGGCAAACCTATAATGTTTAGAAATTCTTATTTTGGCAGTTAATGTAAACATATTTTAACATTACATTGTACTTAGTAGTTTTCTGTCTGCAGTGGTATTGATATAGTAATTAGAATAGTATTAGTGTGTATGAGATATAGAGCCAGAGAGTGAGTGTACTCAGACTGTTAGTAGCTAAGGCTCTCCATGTGGAGGGCCATACAAAGGCAGAATGGAGGAGGTGAAAAACAGCTTTGTGAGACTGTACTTGAATCAGCACCATCTGGATGAGCTCATGAAGCCTCAAAAGAGCATGCTCCTCAGCTCCATTCACTGGAAAGAGGCAATGATACACTGATCTTGAAGAGGATTAGATCATGATCAGATCCTGGTTCCTAGGTACTATACCAAAGTACACAGTATCAGGGATGCAGAGAAATGGCAAAGGCAGGGGAAGTTCAAAGCAAACCAGAAATATGATTTCTGTTTCAGAAGCTGGGACTGCTCCCAGACACAGCAAAAGGTCACAGAGGCAGCCTGAAGGGCATCATGGAGTCAAGTCTGGGATCACAGAATTCCTAAAAACAGTGGGGGTGCTGGATTCTAACAGAGGAGAAAGAGGGACGCAGGGAGCTTCCTAGCAGGTTCTTGCTCTTGGGCTGTGGTTAAATGCATATTTACTTTAGAATCATGTTTGACTATACATGTAGACATTACAAACCTCTCTAGGTTAGTTGTATTTCAAGACAAAAAGCAGGAAAAAAAAAAAAAAGGACATCAATGAAAAGCAAACAAGCAGAATGTTACCTTATCCTTAAACATAACTCAGATCCTACTGTGGCCTTGCAGAATGTGCTGGAACAACAGCAGTAAAAAGGCATAGTCCTTTCCTTAAGAAGGGATAATCAAAAGACCTTAGACAGGTCCTAGTATAACTATTAATCTAAATTAAATTAATCTAAAAATACTCTACCGGGTATAGATATAAGACACTGCATCAGGCTGGAGATGTGGCTCAGTGGAATAGCGGTTGCCTAGCATAGGTGAAGCCTGAGGTTTGATTCCTACCACCACACACACACAAAAAGAAGAGACCATATAATATGCTACTTTTAATATAAGAAAACTAAGGAAAACACAAATTTGCCTGCATTTGGATATACAAATCAGTAAGAAGACACACAAGAATGTATTACCAAGGGTTCCCCAAGGGAGGAGAGGGATGGTGAGGTGGACAGGGTTGAAATGGAAACCAGGTGCCTTAGTAGATGCCTTGTTCTATTTTTCTGATTTCTAAATAGTGGAATGGATTACCTATTCAAACATTAGAAAATGGAACGTAAAAATAATGTTCTTTCTCGAACAAGGTAAGTACTTAGGAAAATGTACCTGAAAAAATATATACTAAGCAAACCTGTGAGTACTGCTGGTCATCTACCACCGACATTCTGCATCGATTAGTTGAAGAAATCAACTCCAGGGGAACTCACCTTTCTTGTTCATCTGCAAGACTGAAGGAGGTGGTGTGGCAACCTTCATGGCCAAGCCATAGGCCCCTCGAAAGGAGTGACTGTCCCTAACGATGAATGATCCTGGCTCTTTGTCCTTCAACATGGTAATGGCTAGAGGAAGAAGAGGAGAAAGGCATGAACAACTGAAGATTGGACAAATGCTGATGTTCACTCATGACCTTGGGGATGGCCTCTAATATGTTTGAATACAGTTTTGTTTTATTTTTTTTTGCTCCAAAACTCACTTTGAAGAAGAATACTCTCTCAGGAAGTGGGTTAATTCTCAGATACTGGAGCATATAACTCATACTGATGTCAGACAGTTTCTTATAATAATAACTTTTGACAAATTCCACCCCACAGAGGCTGCTTGCTTTGATTTTTTTTTCTTCTGCATCTCCCTGAAATGTCATTGTCACTTTCTTAGAAAAGGTACATCCCACAGATAATGGAAGAAAATATACTTCAGAGTTGAGTTGGAAAAATCACCATCTAGTACATATTAGCTGCTTTGAGATGAGGTTCACCCAAAACTTTTTTTTTTTTTTTTTGGCTGTATTGGTGATTGAATCCAAGGGTACTCTATCACTATGCTATATTCCCAACTCTTTCAATTTTTATTTTGAGAGAGGGCCTCGTAAGTTAGCCAATTTGGACTCAACCTATTATCCTCTAGCCTTAGCCTCCGGAGTCACTGAGATTACAGGTGTGCACCACTGTGTTCAGCCCAACCAAAGATTCTTCTTTTTTTTTTTTTCCTGGTACCAGGGGCACTGGATTGTTTATAAGTTATTAGAGTCAGGATCTAAGTGCCTTGCTGTTGCTGAGGCTGGCTTTGAACTTGCAATCCTCCAACCTTAGCCTCCCCAGACACTGGGATTACAGGCATGCTCCAGCGCGCCCAGCCCAGAGCTTCTTAAATGTGTGCCAAAGGTCAGGCAAATGATAATGCTCTAGTTTCAATGTTGAATGTCCTCCAGAGTTCCCTGTGGTGAAGGCTTGGTCCTCAGGATGGTGCTACTGAGAAGTGACAGAAACTCTGGGAGGTGGAGCCCAGTAGGAGGTCATTGAGGGCATGTCCACAAAGGCGACTGTGGACCTCCTTGCTTTTGCTTTCTGGCTAGTGATGCAAGCAATTTTGCTCCACTATGTGCTCCCATCCTGTGTGATGTGCTGTCCTTGCCAGAGACCCAAAGCAATTGGACAACCTAATGTTGGACAAGAGTCTCCAGAACCAAGAGACAAAATAAATCTTTTTTCACAAATTAACTGCCTCAGGGATTTTGTTATAGTGATAGAAATCTGATCATGCAGATGATAATACCTCTATCATTTATTGTGAATCCATTGGGTGTCAGCCCCAGTGGTTCCTTCCCCTTAGCACCTCTCTCAGCAACCCTTAGGAGCAGGACCTGTCATTTCCACCTTCCCAAGGAATCAGATGGTATGTTCTAGCCCTAGTCTCTCTGTCCCCGAATCCTGTTGTTTCAGTGACATAGCATATTGTGTGTGTGTGTTGGGGAAGCACATCTAGCCAGAGCTCCATCTTGTCTAGAGGACGGTGCCAATGCGGGATGATCTATGCAGAATTCTCTAGGACACTGGACTCACAGACACCTCTCAGTCTGTTCAGCTGGATGTGGTGTGGAGACATCAGAGGCCACAATCATCAAAGAAGAGTGGTGGCAATAAGAACACAGCATCTGGCCACCAGAGCCCTAAGACTCCATGAGTAGCTTCTCACAAAACAAAAAGTTGAAGGGAATAAAAGTATTCCCAGATCATGGGCTCCCTCCACTTCTATTTAAAATACAATAGCTTCATTGAACTCATGAGAAAAAAAATCACATTCTTAGAATTTCTATCATCTACATAATCAAAGAGCAGAATTTCAATGGTAGAATTGGACAGTGCTATTTTTCAGTCACTTCAGGATTTTTAAGACATAATCATCAAGAAGGAGCATGATGATTTTCTTCTGAATTAAAAAAAAAAAAGGCATAGAGTAGCCAAATGGGCTTTGTGCCCACTATGGGAACCTCTCTGCTTCTCACTGCTTTAAGTCACCCATTCTCTTTTGCAGTTCAGCATTCACCACGCAGTCCCTGAGATCCATTTTGCTTTCTAGGGATCCTGACCCATCTCCTAGCTGCCTGAGGAGCTAGCTCTGCCTTGTGCACAACAACCCCCTCTGAAGAATGCTCCAGGCTCCATGGGCTTCACCTGCTGACAAAATGATTTCCAGGAATGAGGGCAGCAGCTCTCCATGGGCAGAGAGCAGTGATGCTGTGGGGACTTGTAAAATCTGCTGAAAGAATGGTCGCTCATTAGCCAAGGGGCTTCCAAGATATGGATTAGATCTTAAATGCTTCCCAAAAGCTTGTTGGAGGCTTGGTCCCCAGATGAAGGTGCTACTGAGAGGTGGTGGAAACTTTAGCAAGTGGGCCCTGGTTGGAGAAGAAGGTCACGGGGACATGCATGCCCTTGAAGGGTATCTTGAGACCCTGGCCCCTTCCTCTCTCTCTTTCTGCTTCCTGGTCCCCATGAGATGAACAGCTTTACTCCACCATATGCTCCCCACCATGATGTTTTGTTCCATCACAGGTATAAAAGCAATGGAGCCAGCTGACCATGGCTTGAAACCTCTGAAAGGGCCAAAATAAATCTTTTCTCCTTTTAAGCTGTTTATCTCCGGTATTTTTTGTCTCAGCAATTCAAAGCTGACTAACACATGCTTCCAGGAGGGACAGTCACAGGAATGGCTTGCTAGGCTCCTGTCGGAAAATCTACTCATATTCTGGTAAACAGGAACACGTTCTGAGCATGGTCTTACACCTATAAACCCAGTGACTCACGAAGCTGAAGCAGGAGGATCACAAGTTCAAGGGCAGCCTTGGCAACTTAGTGAGACCTTGTCCCAAATAAACATTAAGGAGGGCTGGTGATACAGCTTAGTGGTAGAATGTTCCTGGATTCATTCTCCAGTACAAATAAACAAACAAATAAACAAATAACATTACAGAAACTCAGTTGAAATTATTAAATATCTTAATAATTTCATGATAAATATTTAATAAGATAGAAAAACAAATTATCCTGCTTTGACCATTAGAAGGATTACATACACTTTATCAAATTAACACTCTATGTCCCATAAACGTGTATAACTATTATGTGTCAGTTTTTAAAAAGAAGCAAAAAGAAAAAAAAATTTTAAATATTAAAAATTTCAATTTTGAAAGCTATCTTGACGCAGAACCAAGCAGATGGATGCTCTATCTGGTTTGCATGTGAGGCATCTGGCCAAGTCTACGACATCCTGACTTGGACCAACACAGGTATTCAGGAATACACAGGGCTCCTGACGACACAGAGTAAGGCAGTTAAACAGATACACTTTTCCCTCCATCCTGACCCTTGTCTTCTGTAGCTCAGGACCTCACTCTTCAGTAGAGACACGGGCTGGCAGCCTTGGCAAGCTGCTAGTTGGTAGAAGCAGCCAGAAATTATACTCTGCATGTTGAAATGCTGAGAGCTGGTGCCCATCCCTCCCCAACTCCCTCATTAGAACCAAATTTTTCCTATAAAAACTTAAAGGTCATGGGATTTCACCAGAGGCATGTAATAAAGTGTGGCCTTGCTCTGACTCTATCCATGCCTCAGCCCTGGTACTTAGACATTGCTATGGCATGATCCTCCCTCACACAAAGAACCTGGGCACTGAGGAGGAATGATGTCCCTGGGAGCCCTCCCTCTCCCCACATACCTTGTTCTCTTGAAATATCTGCCTTGTACCAGAATTTGGAAGTGTCTTGAACAAACTTCACAATCACAAGTTTATCCCCTGGACTATCTATAAAGCAAAATTTTAGAAAAATGACTACAAAGAACATTTTTTTTATTGTACCTTCTTGTCTACAATGTTCCTACAAATCTGAATCCTATGCTTAGGGAAGAAGGAGGATGGGGATGTTGTAAGGGGCAGGAACTACATTAGAAATTAGTAAGTTGTAGGAGACAGCTACTGTTTTATAAGATAGAACATTACAACATGATACTTTGGGATTTTGAAATGCATGTTTAAAATACATAGAAAAGTAGGTTGCAAACAGCAAGGTCAGTGTTATTTATAATTATGCACCTGAAAAATTTCATAGTTAAATTATGAACGAATCAATTTAATTTAAAAGAGAAAGTAATCTTCAAAGAGTAATGTTTGTGAGTAACAGGGAAAATAGAACTGCTATAATAGTCTGTCCTTTCTACTTCTGGGATGAACCTAAGGTGGATAAATGCAGAAGCCTAGAAAAATTAATGAAAAGCCCCATGTCTCTGCCTGGCTTTGGATCAGCAAGATGGATGGGATCCTTAACAGCTCTGGGCTTTTCCTGCAAGACACTGACATTACAGATGCACATTCAGGTAAGCCCTAATAGTAAATTCCAGGCCCTTCCTTAGTGCACATATAGAGGTGACAATACATACCTGGCAAAGGTGAGGCCCCTTCTGAAGGCTTGGAAAAGTCCGGAAGGACATTTGGGAAGGGGATGCTGATAGTGCTCCCACTGTGTGGGCTGGAGAAACCACTGGAGGAGGGAGAAACGGAGCCCAAAGAACGATCCCCTTCTGAGGCCCGTTTCTTCTCAGGGAGGGGTGGCTGCCCAGGCAGGGTCATTCCTGGGCCCTGCAGGCCTGGACTATGGTGGTTGTTGTGTCCAGGTGCCACTGTAAGAAAATTGTGGGACAGGAAGCCATTGTCGGCAGCCCCTGCTGTTGTCAGCGGCGGGCCAGGGGCCGGAGATGCTCCATGGGAATTGGCCAGCAAAGCTCCTGGGTCCTCTTCAGATGGAAGGCCACTTCCTACTGGATTGGTGCTGAAACCCAGGAAGGCCTGGTTGCTTGTGGGGACCAGAGAGTCCTGTGGCTCCACCATGGACAGCTCATGGCCATGGAAAGAGGCCTGGAGCTCGGACGATGGGAAGCAGGACAGGCCTGCGGAGTCCTTTCCGGGGCTGGAGAATTCGTTGGTGCCGAGGGGACTTCCAGAGGGCCGGCTGCTCCCCAGGAGAGAGAGTGTGGATTTGGGGCTGCTCTCCACCCACGGGCGTTCTGCACAAGGCTGGCTGTTCAAAAGATAAATCAGCCACAAGAGAATATTAGGTATACTGAAACATCTCAAAATCAGTAGAAAAACTGTCAGTAGATGTGAGGAGGGCAGGGCTGGGGAAACAAATGTCAAGGCTCAGATACAAAGTAGCACCCCTTATACTTGTTTCAGTTACCCAGGGTCAGCCTTTGTCTAAAAATGTTAAAAGGAAAATTCTAAAAGTTAACAATTGAGTTTTTAAAAAAGTTTTAAACTCTGAGTGCCATTCAGAGCAGCATGTTCCCATTATATAGGCTCAACCTTGGCCTGAAAATATTAAATAAAAGATTCAAGAAATAAATAATGGATAAGTTTTAAATTCTGAATGCCATCTGGAGAAATGTGAGCATAGTGCATGGAAATAGAAATTTCCATAGAGCATGGAAATCTTGCATAGTCTTCCATCCTGTCTAGGAAATGAATCATCCCCTTTGTTTCATGTATTTGTGCTGTATATGCTACCTTCCCGTTAGTCACTTAGTAGCTAACTTGGTTGTATAATTGACTGATACTGTATGATGGTTTCTTAGGTTCAATAAATTCTTATTTTACTTAATAATGTCCCCAAAGGGCAAGGGTAGTAATGCTGGCAATTCAGATACACCAAGGAGAAGCTGTAAAATGCTTCCTTCATTTGAAAAGGTTAAAGTTTATCAAAGGTATATAAGTGTAGAAAAAAAACAGTACATATAGAGTTTGGTCCTATCCATGGTTTCAGGCATCCCCACTGAGGATACTAGAACATATTCCCTGCAGATAAGGGACAACCGTACCAGACATTATGATATATTCAGGAATACATAAAAGCAACTAAAAACATAATCCACATAATTTACACATATTTAAATTAGCAAACATTGAGTATAGGATCTACCTGCAACAGCAAATTCTTAGAGAGGAACCTCTTCAGTTTAATGAGAAAGGAGGTTGAACAAAGGAAGATAAATAGGGAGCTATGTTCATATAATAAACACAATTGAATATACTTCTACCATGGGCAACAGGAGCAGTCTCATTTAGATTTTCTCAAGGTCACTGGCTTTATAAAGCAGAAAGAGGACATTTTTTATTTGTCTGTGGCCCTTTCATTTCTTTCTGTTCTTGCAATACCCCTGTGACTGAGTTTCCCATATTTCCTATGTGTACCTTCCCACATACCAGTACACAGACCATGTCCACAACATCCCCTGGGTAGGGGCACGCTCTGGGACCCCAGGTCCACCCTCCACAACCCCCTCTCCACCCTCAGCTCAGCACTCCGGGCTTCTTAGGGCGTTTGTGCCAAGTTTTATAGGTTCGTTTTCCTACCTGTCTCTCCTCTGGCCAGGACCATTGCTTGAAATGGTGCAGGAAGATGCAAAGGCCTGCTGAAAGCTGGGCGTCGCAGGCACATCGGCCCGAAGCATCGTGGGTTTGGGTCCAATGGGGCTCTCTGACATCCCCACAGTGTGGCTGAGAATCTCAGGACAGCCTCGTGGTTCTGCAGGGAGAAAATAGAAAGTGAAAGGGGTTGTAATCTCATCCCATTTGTGTGTTCTCTAAGGTGTTAATTTCTGAATCCTTCTGCTGCTCATAGCCCTGTTGAGCCATAATGTCACACAGAGGTTGAAGAAGTTGGTTCAGTGTCACTCTGTGCAGGTTTACCATTACCTATTGCTGTTTCCAACAGAGAAGATGGCTAACTCAGCTCCACAGACACTGTCCACCTCCCTACCTGAGCTGGTGTCAGTATCCTTGCAGTCACATGGTAGGAACACAGGGCCAATGGGCTGGTCCTCCAGGGCCTAGCACCATATGACCACTAATGGGCTGTACTCTTAACATTCAGTCTAGGATGCCTAGGGTCCAGCCTTTCTCTGCAAATCAACAAGGACCCTTCTCCACAGCAAGATCCATTCTCCATAAGCCCAAGCCCTAAAACACCAAGACAGTCAGGCATCCTTAAACTTCCTTTGCTCCCCGACCCCCAAGTTGGTGACTCAGGTGCAGTGACAATCCACTGACTATGAGAAAACTTGAGCTGCAATCACACTATTCTGGGGAGATTAAAATGAAGGTTCAGAGCTATCAAGGCAGCCAGGACTGGGAGGGCCAAGAAGGCAGAGAAATTGAACTTATAGCAAATTTCCCTGAGTCCTGAACTGCAGCGGTAGGGGCCAATGCCTGGTAACCAAGATTAAAAAACGGCTACCGAGAAACTAAAACAGTAAGCAAGGATTTGAGAAGTCAAATAACAAAATTAGAAGTGTGAGGTATACCTATGGAGGGGGACACTTGCAAATACGGTGAGATATTGAGGTGAGATTCATGAAGGGCTATGACCCAGGAACAAGAGTATCAGGGACAGAGCAGCCTTAATTGGATCTGGTCAGCCTGACTGAAAAGTCACATCCGCTCCAGCCTGCCCCTCCTCCTTCTTGCTGTGATTTTTTTTTTTTTTACATGCTGTGAAATATTTAAATACAAATTTAGCCATGGCACTAAATATGACAAGTGAAAACCATGACCAAGGAAAAAAAGGAACAACAACCAGAAAAAACCCACCACTGACCCAAAAATTGGAGTTAGACTAGCACAGACTGTAGGATAGCTAAATGTTCAAGAAAACAGAAGACAGAGCAATTTGCGTTTCACAAAAAGAACAAGTCCATAAAAATAATCAAATGGAAACCCTAGAACTTAACAGAGGGAATGAAATGAGCATGCAGACAGAGCTTTGATCAGCCGACTAGACACTGCAGAGGAAGTGATGGGTGGACTTGGCTAGGGGAGAAAATTATGTGCAGCAAGAAGCCCTGAGAGGGAGGAGGATGAGGAATACAGAGAAGAGCGTAAAAACATGGGAAAACAATGGAAACTTCTAACCTATGTGAAACTGGAGTCCAAGAAGGGAAAGGAAACATTGGATGAAAACAAGTGACACTGGAAAAGATATTTAAAGAGAATTTCCCAAGATATATTAAATATATGGAACCATAAGGGGGAAAAAAAAACCCCGTGACACTCAAGCAGAAGTGAACACTTAAAAGTACAACTTCTGAAAATTACAGACAAAACCTTAAACACAGTGATTTGTCCACTTTGGAGGAAAAGACAGGACACCAATTTTAGTGTTAATTTTTTTTTTTTTTTTTAAGCACTGAAGTTTTCCATTACAGGAAACCATGGTGCTGATGTCCTATTTGTTTAAACTCCTCAATAAGACACTCCACGGATGCACCATCTCCCTCCTCAAATGTAAATATCTCATGATCACACCAGGGCCAGGCCTAGCAAATGCTGTTCATGCAATCAGCTTATGACCATGTCTCCTACTGGGATTTATCTGCAAATTCCTGGAGCAGACAGAGCCAGTTTACAACTGTGTGACTGCCCCTGCCCCAGGATGACCCATAGTAAATATTTAAATGTAAATGTTCGGTAAACTAATTAATTAACTGGATGGCCTTCCAAACTCTTTCCTTAATTCCTTAGATTGAAAAACAAAGATGTATATGGTTTTAAACCATCCCTTTGCACCCTTCGCTTCTCTCCTGGTGATAAAATAACTTCATTTAAGTTTGACATTTTATTTCCCACACAAGACATTTGCTGAGTATTCATTATCTACCAACATGGTCTAAGTTGTAGGAAACAGAAAAGAGAAACCAGAGCAAGATAGTAAGCACCCGCAGGTCCTGCTCTTGAGATGTGTGTGAGGAAGAGACCTCTATGGGAGGAGCAGCCTGTGGGGTTCAGAGAGACCCCCTAGGAACACTTGCTGGGGGAGCCTGCAAAGCTTCCTGGAGGAAGCAGTATTTGATAGAAGCCAGGAAGGATGGGTGGGATTATGATGGACCAAACTGGTAACACAAGCTTGATGAGCACTATCATTAGCTCCTGGGGCAGGAGCCACACCCCCACCCCTGTATTCCCAGCACTAAACTGGCACCCATGGATGCTCTGAATGAATGGATTAGTCGGCAAAGGCTTAGAGGTCAGAGGAAAAAATTCAGAGGATAATGTGGAAATCCTGCCCCACAGCCTGTCTCAAGAGGAGTAGGTGGATAGAGGGATGGATCCCACTCCAAACAGCAGCATAAAACTTTGGAATCAGAAAAACTCTTTATCAAGTCGAATGCACCTGCCTTGGATCTTCCATGAGCGAGTGTGGAATGGAACAGCATGAAGCACCTTTGGCCATAATTGATGTTGCTCTTAGGGGTCCACATGCAGCACAGGGGCAACCCCTGGTGCTGTAATGTCCCTGTTTACTGAGTCCCAGTGGCATGAGGATCTGGGGAATGTATGCCAAGATTCAGAAGTCCCAAACACCCTCACATGGCGCCAGAGACTTTCACCAAATGAGGGAAGGCTGGAGGAAAATAAACTCCCACTGTGTTCCTGTTATCCCAGTGCTTGTCCCAGAAAACAGCAAGCACAGCACTTCCCATGAAAGTGGCTTTGTTTATAGTTCTATTAGCACCAACTCTGGGGGCACTGTGGCTGTGTGGTTCCCTCTTGTTATATGGTCTCCTGCTCAAGGACAGGACTTAAACCTTCATGTGAAAAAGGAGCTGTCCAAGCACCAGGTCCCATGTTTATGTCAAGCCCTCACCTTGGCAATTAGTCTAAATAGTCTATTTACTATTACTAGCTGGATCTTCGCATTCACAGGTAAGTGGGATGTGGCTACTTTTTCAGATCAACAGAGCTACTACCAAGTTTAATAACTCAGACTGAAGACAGCAAAGGGGACATTAGTGGCAGTTCTACTTTACTCGGCACCTGCATTGTGCATGCACATTGCTGGCATGAGGTCTCCACTTGCCTTTTGCTTGCAGGATTCCACCTCTGCTCCATAGGTAAGGAGAATAAGGCACAGAATTAGAATTCAGAGAACATGAAAGAGTTAGCACCCTAAAAATCTCACCCCAAGAATCGATAAAGGCCTCAATTAAGTGAGCAGACACAGACTGCAAACCCTTTCTGCAGATGCTAACCTTACTCCCTAGAAATTCACAAACTTTAAAAGCAGGCATTATTGTCACTGTTATGTGTCTGTGTTTATGTTTGTAGGGCTGAGGCTGGAACCCAGGACCTTGTGCATGACAGACAGGAGCTCTGCCACTGAGCTACACTGCAGCCATGTTGCTGCTATTGTTTGTTTAACCTATACATGTGAGCTTCACGGTTAAACTACAGGTGAAATGTCAAAAATAGGAATGGTAAGTGGACTGAGCTCCTGGTTCGGAGGGTATCAGGCCTCCCCAGCTTTGCACCTAAAGGAGCCTGGGAATGACCTAGGACAGGAATGGAAGTGATAAAGAACAGATGTGACCTCCACCATCTGGGATGGGACATTTGTGGAGGCATTAACTCTATGCCACCATTGGAGTGGGAAGGAAAGCTAGGGCTCTCCTCTACCATGAGCCATCTGCAGCCCGTGTCTCTGCTTCAGAGAAGGGAACATAAGCATACCACAGTGAGTACAATGATTCCATAAAGCAATGACTCAGAGGGTCCATGGGGCAGGCAAACTCCTTCCTTCCAAATGTCCTTTTCTCTTGTCTTGCCAGTCCTCCCTGCTGAGTTTCCACAGGATGGGAAGGACCCGTGGCAATACAGAAAACCATTCAGACCCATTCCTGTGCAGCCAGGGCCCTGCTCTACCAATAAGATTGTGGGCCCTGAACAGATGCCCCTTTTACTTCCCGAGTTCTCTCTGGCATAGAATCATTTCCGTTCTTAAGTCTCCTAATATTCTCATATTTTCCCTCTGCTGCTCAAAGCAATAGGAGGAGGCATTACATTGTCAGTGGTTGGAAACCCAGCCTCTTATCACTTTTTGGTTTTCCCCCAAATCAGCTGGTATACCCAGCTGGTAGAGTGGGATGGGGTGCCTGGCAGAGCTACTGCTGCCTGGCAGCCCTTAGAGTCCTGCCGGAACTTAGGGGGGGGCACGTGCCTGGCCTCCTGGGACCTCAGGAATGTCTGCACTCTGTCTCCTCTCTGCTCCCACTTCCTCTACCCAGAACAAGGGTGAGAGAGGGTCACTGGCTTTTTTCCAAATGGTCTATTTTTAAGCTTTCTTTCAAGATGCTGCAGGAGGATCTGTGGGAAGTTGGACCCCACTCATTCTCCACTGGCTGCTACTGACATGATCCATAAGTTAACAGGAAGTGTAGAGACCCAGAAGCTTGCAAGCAGGGCTGCTGGCTCACTCTCCTGCAAGCCTGGAGCCTGGAGAGGGAACTGCCAGATATTAAAAAATCCATGAGAGATCCAAACATCAAAGGTCATCCCTGGACTCTGATTCTTGCCTTGGAAACTATAAATTTCCAAACAAAAATCAGGACACAGGATGTCAGAGAAAAACTAACATTTTTCCTGTCTTCTTGATTTTATAAGAATGCTTCACAAAGATATGAAAGTTATTCACTCATACCTTAACTATTTAATATCAACCAATTAATTGACTCATGATCAACCAATATCAAC